TTCCCTTCCCACCAAAGGTGGTCCCTATTTTTCTACTTGCATTTTTACGTGCTTTCGAACTGCTAAGTTGGCAGATGCTGGGACGAGTAACGGGAGCTCACTCCATTATGTGGCGCTAGGGATTCGAACCGCCGAACTGCTGACCTTTCTGATCGACAAGCTCAGTGTCTTAGCCACCGCGTCCCTTTGAATGTACCACCGACATTAAAACGAAATTTCGTTGCCTGCAGCTCTCAAAGACTAAAAGATTTACATCAACTTCTGTGAGCGAAGCTGGTTTTATCAGCAGGTAACAAGCAAATCGTAAAAATTCTTGGCGTTTTAATAAAATGTATTTGTCAACCGAAAAGCCCCGCAGTGTTGCAACCTTCCTGGGTAAACTGCAAAATGCCCATCATTTTCAAAGCAGCTCTAATCTCTAATCTCTAAGCAAAACCAAGTCAGATTAACATTTAAAGAAAGGAGATAGGTCAGAAGTCTTGTTATCTGGACTTTTCTATTACGGGAAGAAAGCTTCATGGATTTAAAGATAAGCTGTCCCATTTGTCCCTGAAACCTAACCCAAGATAATTACGTTTTTTTTTTAAACCAACCCCCAAAATATGCCTGCTTGGGTAAACATCCAGGCACTCATATTTAAAAACATGTTTTTTTAAAAAAATAAAATGCCTGTGGTTTATTACCTAGCTTTTGATGTCTCTGATTTTGCAACTCTTTTGAAACAAGAAACAGAAAGATTAAAAGAAAAAAATTCCAGAGGAGCAATGGAAGATGATTAGATGTAATCTCTTTAAGTACCGATTTCTCAATCTCAGCAATATTAAGATGTGCAAATGACTTCAACTCCCAGAATTCCCCAGCCGGCTTGTCTGTTGCAATCCAAAACACGGGATTAGCCAGAATATCTGATAATTTTTTGTTTTACTATCCTCTTTATCTACGGTTGCGGTTGGGATGAGGCAATTCTGCGGTTCTCTCTGACCCGTAAATCTTGCAAGGTTCGTTTCCCCCCCCTGCTTTTCATATATGTGGACTTCAACTCCCAGAATCCCCCATCCAGCGTGTGCCATTATCCCTCACCCCACCCCAGAGTCACTAAAAAAAAAAAATAGGATGGGCAGACTACAGATTTAATAAATAAAATACAAATATTTGGGGCTGACCTCCATTTTGGCTTAGTGCGTTCAAATTGAGGCTTGAGAGTCATTTGGGGAATAAAATCCTGATCAAGATTGCCCCTCTGAATCTGAAATTCTCTATGATCGTAAATTTTATAGCCGTTGGGTTTTTTTTTCAATCATTAATACAGTTTTAGTTATACAAGAAGTCTCTGATTTTGGCAAAATGTATTTCCTGAGGTTCTTCTGGTTTTTATTCCCACCCCCCACATCCCACCCCCAAGAGCGGGAATCCGAATTTCATTTTTAAGTGCACCATTGTGTATACAGAACTCCCTTTTTTAAGGGACCGGAAACTCCTTCATTCAGGCGAGAGTTAGGGAGACTGGATGAAGCTGAGCATTTACTGGCTGGATGCCCTTCCTAACACCCATGTGGAGTTTGCAGCAGATAGATTCTCTTTGCACTCTAAGAGAGAGGAAAAACACGCGGTGCTACCTAGGATTGAAGTCAGCCTTCCACACATTCACCATTGTGTGTACAGAAAAATGACAGTAAAGTTTACCTTCTCTTATCTTATTATCAGGAGCAATCGTAATAGAGTTTCCGGTTGGTTGTGCTTAAAAAGTAAGACAAGTTAAACAAAAAGTGAACCACGTGCTAATTAAGCTTTTTTAACAGACTAAAAGCTTTACCCCAGAGATCCTCAAACAAAGGGAAAATTATAGTATCCGTCTCCAACATAATTCCTACTCTGCAGAATTATTTTTTATTATACATATTTTATTACTTGAATATTTTCTTCTGCATTATCCATTCCAGTAGTGTTGTATTCTGTGCTTAGGATGCTCCAGAATAACAAAGGCGGAAGGGCCGTTGGAGGTCTTCTAGTCCAACCCCCTGCTCAGGCAGAAGACCCCATACCGTTTCAGACAAATGGCTATCCAACATCTTCTTAAAGATTTCCAGGGTTGGGGCATTCACAAGAAGTTGTTCCACTGATTAATTGTTCTAACTGTCAGGAAATTCCTCCTTAGTTCTAAGTTGCTTCTCTCCTTGATTAATTTCCATCTATTGCTCCTTTCATAAATACGATTGGAAGCAGGAGGAGAAAGAAGGGAGGGAATGTATTGAGAGAGAGGAGGGATAGAGGGGGAGGGGAAGT